CCTCGCAGTCAGCATGGAAAACTTCAACGTTCTGTTTGGTATTCATATCTGAATCGCACAAAGCCATTACTTGGCATTCTATCACAGTTGTTAACATCTACTTTTCAACGTGCAGTGTTGGAAAACTTCAGCTCAGTTTAGAGCATGTCGTTAAAACTCTCTTTTCCTCTAACATGTCAAATGGAAGGACTAGTATATAGTAACTCTTCCTCCCCGCCCTCTGTTTGAAGTGCATGCTTAGCTCTTTACATCGTCATCGTCATCAGGAAACGTCTCTTGGTCTACGAGATACTTCGTTAAGTTGTTATTGATGATATGTCTGGAAAGTGTCACCCAACTGGCTAGCTTGCAATTATAACACACGACATCTCTACTATTCTGGCACTTTCATCTTTTAGAAACCGGCTAGTGACATTCATATGCTATAAGTGTAGCAATTTATCACTGATAAAGCAAATTATGATTTACGCGATAAAAACAACCTCTTTCCCCTACTACAAAGACACTGCCAACTTGCGTCATTCTACACCACTAAACATTACAAAAGCATTCACTCCTGAAGACAGGACGAATGGCTATATTCCCAAAAGATGAATTTACATGTGACCTATATTGATACAAATAATTCTAAAGTATCAGGTTGCATGGTGTAAAATGTTTTTCTTGCCCTGATGCATTAGTAATGGCTGTACCACTGACATGGAAGGAGCTCGCAGGTCGCCAAATTAAAGGGACCTCATGCTTTCATGTGTCCCTGGTGTGTACGTGTGATTCGTCTCTGGTTAATGCTACTTTCCAAGGTAGAGGTTGGATGAGGAGATCGTAAACTTTTCAGACTTTGGATGGGACGGCTGCCAGCTTGTGTGGCAAACTTGTGAGGGTTACGATCTCCGAATCCCACCCCTTTCGAGAGTACATGTGTAGAGTGGATGCAGCTACAGCGGCTCGCCAAGTTTACACATAAATATACTGCTTTAAGATTCATTAAAGAAACTCACACATTTACAGGTTTACATGGTTTAGCATTCCAGTATCATCTACAGATCTGAACCACTCTAGTCAATTCTGAAAGACCTCAACATTTCATAAACATTCTCATAAACATGTGTCATGTCCATAAGCACGTACTTCATTTCGTAGAGAAAATCGTAATGCTCATTGATCAACATGTAAGAGTGCTACTCCTTTGGAATTAGAATCAGCAAATGCGCAGGGTTCTGAATATCCAGCCAAATGGGTGATCAGCGTGGTCTAACTTCCATAACGCAGACCATAACATCCATTACAAGCGCATTTCAGCCTAACGCAAACTTGATGGATTTTCTAATGTGCACAGTTGAAAACGGGAGGTTCACCCTGGTCGATACTGAGTTTTTCCGAGGGAGGGACGTATCAGGTTGACAACTCAGCTAGCTTGTTTTTCAGTCATTTAGATCTCAGTATGGTTTGCTATGTGACATCACAAGCCGGTTTTGTTTACGTACCAAGATAAGAGGTTAGGTTAAACCTACTATCCTATACACAACACTTCATTCACAAGGCAACAACTTTTATTCTACCATCTTAGATACCATAGGATAAAAGAATGTTAATTTGTATTCCCGGTTTGTTCCGAACAAATTTCTTTACGGTAATTCTTTGGCTGAGCAAAGGTTAATGCACCATATTGCTGATGTTATCACAAAACTTCTATTATATTTATATAGCGGACATGATAATGAATTATAATTTGGTTATTCTACTAAAAGCCATCAAAGGTTTGGCACGACATCAGCCATCATCACCACGTTACTGAATGATCATCTTCTGGGACCGGAATGACACAACACTTCATGATGCTTCTTCTCTGTTGACTTGGCAGAGATGGCCTATACCATTAAGAAAAAGAAAAGTTTCACTATATTTTGGGAGCTAGCCAAACTTCGTGCGTTTTATCTTTAGCCATATTATTTTCCCATGCCGCTCAACCCATAGACCGAAATGTAACGAATGGTCTTAATTCCGTTCCTCAGATAATTTTCTTCGAATGTCATCAATACAATTTATGCACACATCAGCCTTTCATTATCCTTCATAGCCATTTGGCAACCAAGGCACATTACCAGGAGATAGAACTATTCTTCTCGTTCGTCTCACAGAACAATGGGCGTTTTTTTGCATCTGGATTGATGGAAATGGAAATAGAAAAATAGCCAGACAACGATATAAATTGGTGAGGATTTGCTAGTACGCATACGTCTTTACACGCCTAGTTTAGCCGCACTTTCCTTACATTATTTTCTTAATTGCTCAATTACTTAGCCTTCCAAAACACATGCCACTGGAAGAAAACAATTATAAGGCTGCTAATTTCAATTCAGAGAGGATGATCGAAGTTATCAAACTGGGAGCAGTCACTAATTGCTTTTCCGTGTTAACCGGGTTGCGTACGGGGCAACCAGAGTGCACAACGTTTGCCAGGAATACGTTCTATTGACTTCCTGAAGGGTTAAAATCTTTTATCAAAACTGACCAGCCTTCGCCACGTGTGAATACATTGTATATAGATGATAAATAGGTTGTAGCAAGGGGCTTACTATAAGCGTCTTGGTTATAGTATCGCTGTAATACATAGATTTTAGCACTTGGTGCTAGAATGTAGCATTTCAGTTTCAATACTATGTTTTCTATCTACATATGGTCACACAGCTCACCTGGACTAGACCTTGCAATAAAAATCATTCAGCGTACCCTTCGCACCATTCCTGCCATACATGCCCAGAACGATATATAAGCCCTAAAACCCTGTGGGTTGTCTGTGACTCTCTCTAACCCACTCTCTCGGGAGGTACCGGCACTTTGCTAAGGCGCCAAACTCTTCAAACACTGGGGCTTGTTTCAAAATGCCCTACCTGCCCTAAAGGTAATTAATCTCAGGCATATAACAAGAAGTTCTTGCAACGTACGTAAGCAGATGCTTTGTATAAGTGTGAACACAGACCAACACAATGATTTGTAGTGATTGATTATCCGAGAATTTTCTCATGAACAGACTATATAGACTCTAAATACAATATTCGATAGAAGCAATCCTTCAGGATTGTCAGGCACAAGAAATGAAGTGGTCCAAGAAATAACACTGGGGGAGAGAAAATCGAAAAAGTCTCGCTGTATGATGAATTGTTCCCTCGATGGGTAATAGGGCAATATGTGATGGAACCTTTCCAAATTCGTCTCTTTTGATCGATCTGATATTGTCCATGTTGATTCCTCTAGGTGTTTGGTTTGGTTGGTTGGTTTGGTCTGTTTGTTTGTTTGTTGGTTAGGATCTCCATTGGTGTGACAATTCACACTATTCTTCCCGGAGTCCGGGTAATGATGTAAATGACCATGTGGCTAATACGAGACGGGGGTTCGCCAGGCCTCTATCTAAGTAATTTGAAGTGAATCACCAACTTCCAGTCAATAGTATTTGGGCCATCGCACACTGAGGAATTCCCTTACTCTTTCTCGAAAGGTGTGGTGGGTTCTTTAACGTGCGTGGGGTGTGGCTCTCCTCAAACATCGCACCGCTACTTAACGTACTATCCGAGGAACGTCACCAACCGAAGCAGGCTACTCTGACCATTCCACCTGAGTGAAGTGACGAAAATCGTGTAAAGCGCATTTCTCAAGGGCATAAGGTCTGTGACATAGCAGGATTCAAACCCGGGATCCGACCTCTTGGTTTTGAGTCGAACACTCTACCGTTACGCCATACGACCCAACTGGTTGAAGAGTGGCCCACTAGATCCCCCTTAATGCAAGTGCTACACAGAAAGTAGTTTGCACTCAGAAGTTGATTGATTGCAGAGTTGTAATAAGGTTTTTGTTCCGTATTATCGTTTCCCCAGCCGGAGATCGATATTTGATGGCAATTATCCCAGAGTTACATTAATACCACATGTAGCACAAATGGCCGCGGCAACAGATGTCATACTAACAGCGCTTCTAGTTCAGCCGAGAAATGGCCAATCAAGATTGTTCACGAGGACTTTGAACAAACGGATATCACTGCCTTCGAATACATTTAATGCAGGACTTTACTGCCTCTAGAATAAATGTAATTATTAAAAGAAGTGGTTACCGTTTTATCCGAACATATAATGCCAGTAGTACACCGGTACATGTAAAATACAACCATCTAAATACGACAGTGGTGTTATGAAGTGGTAACGAAAACTGTTCATTGCTTTTTAAAATTTTGAAGTGTTTCCTAGGAAATAAACTATTCCTACTGAAGATAACGACATTTTGACACGTAACCTCCGAGCCTAACAGTGCTTTGTGTGGTTGATGCAGTGACGGTGACAGGCTTGATCCTGCCCGTTATCGTTGCGTGTTTCATTCTCACTAATATCAGCGACACTTAGGTGAGAATGACGTGAACGGGCGAACGTTTGCCGTGATCATGATTCCCCGCATTATCGCAGGTCGATCATGCATTAAACTCACATGCGAGAGAGCAAAATCACGCGTGACAGCATCCAATGTAACGTTGATCATCACTGAATCATTTATTTTACACGGTCTTTGATTGTTAATCACATTTTGGGATGCTTCGCTTCCACCGTGTCTTATCTTCCCGGGCACGTAATCTCTGGAAGACTTTTACAGATGGCGACGCTTCTGTTTAATTTTTCATGTAGAATATCTAATATAGGAAGACCATCTGGAACTGAAGATGGTGCTGACTTAAAGTATCTCGCTCATTGAGTAATATATTGGAAAGCATTACATTAAATTATATTCTTATAGTTCTCGCTTCGCCAATGTAGCATATAAGGAACGTGGAACAATTTACACTCGATCTTTCATATACCGTTAGACAGTTATTTCCTTAGAGACCGTCGGGTATTGCGTTGATCTTACTGCATCAGCAGAGGATATACATTGACACCTGAGGGCACCGTCATCAAGAATCGATATATAAGCCACCAAACGGGGATTTACTGGTCCCAAAACGAGATAACAAGACTTACCGAAGTTGTGCTGCATTATCAAGACAGCTAGCCGCAGAAACACCGTGGAAGGTCGGGGTGGAGTCATGTTGAGGAGCGCACTACGAGGTGGCGACGGAAGAAATAAAGTCAAGCTGCTCGCTCTATGGTACGTCGAGCCATCGACTCTGTCTGCAACTAGAGCCGTAAAGTATAGACTCCTCTACCGAAACAGAAAGTCCTAGATCGTTTACACGATAGTCCAGACGGCTATCAATACATACAGGAAGAAATATACATGTAGCCTCAGCGATGTGAGAGCGAGTATTGGGCGGAACTTGGGCTGGCACGTCGCCCAACTGACGTAGTCACAAAGCGGCTCCTAAGTGCGGAATAGGTCAACTGCAATGAAGACAAGTCGCGTAAATCTTTGCCTTTGTGATACACATAAGCTGATGCTGCAGCCAGCAGGGCGGTCAGTTTGGTTCAAAGAAAGTCAGAACCAGAGTGTACATTGCCCCATTACTGTCTTCGCAAGGCCAGGAGATTAATAGCAGGTCTGCTCGCGTTGTGACAGGCGTAATAAGTCAAAAAGACACGGCCAATTGTTCACATACATTTGACAACATTTTCTCATTCCTAGCGGGATTTCGGTCCCTAAGTGAGTACCATCTTACATACGGTTGACACTGCTATTCCTCAAATGATCATCCTCCTCCCTTGCCACAAACTCAGTCACCATCCACCGGATTCCTCTAACGCGGGGCGGCTCCGCAGGGTACCCTGTCAGGACTGGGGAGTAATGCTTCACGGGCAATTTCCACCACCGCGGCGCAGCACCAAGTTATAGGTATTATCGCCGTCTCTTTGAACTGCAGCTTTGATGTGGTAACCGACTGCCCTAGTTCGTGTGTGCAGAAACTAGATGACAGCAAGCAAGACGTCCAGGCAACTAAGCCTCGTTGGCAATTTGCTGACTGACAATCAGATGGATTAACGTCACTATTTCAGCGGCCTGGAAACGTCTGTCTTGTAGAATGACCATGGAGGGGAATTAAGCCCATAGATGAGCAGCGTATTTAATAGTTTAATGTAAAAGTAGAACAAAGAAAATTGAATGTAAGCAGCGTATGCAGATTCTAATGAACACAGCATGAAACGCGCACTGCAACTCTTAACAATGATCCACAGACATGTGCCTGAACGCCCGATTCCGATGCAGTGTACAAATCAGCATGATTGAGAGTCAGAAGTTGTCTCAGCCTACATGTACAGGTCTAAAAGGGCAGAGAGGCGTGTGTAATCAACGTCTTTTGAAGACGAACGGGGCCAACTAAACACGTTCTACACCTTCGCCAGCCCCTCTGATCACGGCCAAAGGCCCCGGCCTGACGGTCTCTTGATTGTATACATTAACGAGCAGACGTCGTCTCTGCCAGCTACAATTAATCTTACCAACTTGACCTCTGACGGGCGCCTTCATCTGATCTCCTTCATCCAGACCCACCCGCCCCTCTCTCCCGGGCAATTAAGCTTCTGAAAAAAAGTTTCAATCCGATGTTTTAGGCAAACGTATTACTGCATGGGCGTGAGTGAAGTAAGGATTTGTGGTAACACCATCTGCACCAAATCCTTAGCTTCCCACAATCTCGGCTTCTGGCGGAAATGAGACCCGAAAAGCGGACAGTGAGGGAGAAGCTAAGCCTTCCTCTCGTTCGCTATCCGGCGTTTCTGTTGGCGAAGATCAGGGGGACTCAATAAAGTGGCGCGGGTTTTTCTGAGAGATAATGACGAAGAACCTTGGACATAGACAGAGCGTAGGACTCTCCACCAACTGGGAGATTGATGATAATGATGTGCAAAACACCCCATGATGAGGGCACTTATATCAGGTTGGTCTCCGCACGGGGAATGGCAATGGCAGCAGCAGCAAAAGGAACTTTGGATTGGCTACGAAACGATGCCCAGAGGCCACAGGGAGTACAAGTTGCTGCAAGTCGATCTTCCATCGACCCGTTAGGAAAATAATGGGAGAACAACCTGTGGTTCAAGACATAGAAACTGTACATTCAGCGAAAACTACACGACCGACTAACAGCGGACAACGTCGTTGTTTTTGACATTCTAAGCACTTGAACGCGCTCCCCTGGTGATCTGATCTCCCTAGCTAGTGTGGTATCCCCTGAATACCATCCTTGTCTTGGCAAAATGTCAATGGTGAATGATGGATGCTGAGCTGTGCTCTTGATACATCGCCAGCAAATACTAACAACCACGATATATGCCTTCATACTCACTTTGCAAAAGCCAAAGTTTCCAAAATATGTTGGACTTCATCACCTTCACCTACAAGGCGAAGTTAAGACCCAAGTTCGCTCAAACAATTTTCCCAATAGATTTACGGCCCTTCACCTACAGTGCTCTGAAATCGACCATAAAATTGAGTCTAGTCTAGGTAGTCCGTGGCGTGAATAAAGGTACAGAAATATGCGGTGTGCCGCGTAAATAGACCTTTCAGCCTTTATACAGACTACATACAAATCAGCTTAAGTGCTCGCTTATGATTTGTATCTCCATCATGGCCGCTCTGGCAGAACAAGTTGAACCCTATCCACTTTTGTCTCCATCCCCGCTATATAGGCAATAAAGTATAATTTCCGGGCTTCCTTTATAATAAGTTAAACGCTAGAGTTACATTGCACAGCCGCCACTTGCAGCTATTAAAGGAGGAGACTCGTAAACCACAAAGGCACAATTTGCACAAAGAAACGGTCCAGCGGCCCTTTTAATAATACGCCTCCGCCGTAAGGGAGAAGCTGATAAATAATTTCATATCTCCAAACGCCGCAATTGGATACTTCGACAGCATTTATCGTCGAGCTCTTACAATAATCTTTATCATTTTAAAGAAAAAAAGACCATAACCATGCCTACCAATTGTGCTAAATTATACGATTCAAACATCTATCCCCGCAATATACATGTATCTATTGAGAGCGCTATGCAGAGATTGTTCCACGGCAAAGCATTCGCTCAAATCCTCCTCTATTTCAGGAGATAACATAGAACGTTCACCATTAGTGACTGGAATACTCGGGGGAAATATTGCCCATGACAGAAATACGAGACCACTTACATCGCCACTTGATAAGGTTGTTTCAAGTTCTAGACTCCTAGTTAAATAATCTGTCTGCTAGATCCTTCTGTCTCCAGCGATAGGCCAGCCACTATAAATCTTCTTGTCTAAAACCCCATCACTTGTCTCGGCCAACAGCTTTAAGTTGCCTCCCCCGTCTGAAGTTGTCTTGAGAAGGACCATTGCCATTGATGCTTTGCTTTTTATTCCAAAGAGCTAAGATGATAAGAAGTGAAAAGTAGAATCTTATATACTTAGCGTAAAACATTTTGATGTGTAAAGACAAGTTGAAGTGTTGGACCTCGCTAACCCACGTACTTTAAGGTCAAATAAAGTTGTTCCAGGCAACAAGTCAGAAGTGTCTATAGCTAACCCAGGGCCAAATTCTATAGAGGAATAATCAATTTGTTGTACCGGTCCTTGAACGCTAATGGGGGCGTCAATATGCCTACAGCTCCCACTGGGGATGTAACTTGAGCTCGACTCCAGAGCTTTCAGGGTTGGTCTGTCTTCTAACAAGAAAGAGAGATAAAGGCTATACTTGTCCACCACCCTCTCTATGTATATGTGTACAGAATGATGACGCTTTTCCATGACAGACTGCAGATTACTCTGTGAATCGGGACTGACGGCAGGGATTCGCCAAAGCTCATCAAAGTCACGACAGGCAGATAAATTTTCAGTCATCCTCCCTACATAATTTATTAAACGCATAATTAATTAATCACAGCGGGTGATGGATAGAGTGCAGTGAAGTTTGAACGTGTGGGCAGAGTTTGTTTGATTGTACTGTGGTGTAAACCTGATGTGGGGTCAGCAAAAAAACCTACGGACGTGTTAGCAATCACAATGATAGTGGCGCGACTATTAATTATAAATGAAAGCGCCGTGAAGAGCTCTCGTTGGAAATGAAAAGTCTATTCATGTTACCTCAAGCATAAAACTTGAAATGTTAAAGAGGCTTTTAGCGAAAGCCTTACCAGGATAAACCATTGTTTGCCATCACAAAGATATGTCAAACAGCCAGAAAGGGATCTTAGAGAAATCCTATGGATAAGATGGATGTGACGTGCACACGCTGCTCAGGTAAGTAACATTCAGAAGTACTTCTAGATAATAACCAATATCTACATCATTCACACGTAGTTACACTGTGTAATCGTCTGTAAGAATCCCTGTCGGCGTCTCAGCAATGCACCAGCAGCAGCAATCTGCTATAATCATGAAAGACTGCTTTGCTAGCGATTGATGCTATTGCACACCTTTCCTTGCATTTCAATTGAAATTTCGTATATGACATGGAATAATTTATATCACTTTTACCTTCAATACATGCAAAGTTTCAGAGGTAACCTGACAGGACTACTTTGGACCAAATTGCCGGCCATCACGCTAGATTTTGAAAGCAATCGAAAACGCAAAGAATGCCTTTGGCAAGTAATGTTCATTCCATTATTGATCATGTTAGAATTACAGAAAAAAATAGCTCAACAGTGTTCCATGCTTGCTCTTACTGTATCTTTACCAGAATGTTCCCCATTTGAAGAGCAGTAGAACGTCTGTCTGGTCATTACACTGTCTCGTGGGATTGTTTATCTGTTGCCATAGCAAGAGGTATGTTTTGAAATCCCCCACTTTGTCTCAGGTTTTGATACACGTCTTACATGTCCCTATCTCAACTTAACGATATTTTTAGCCCTTGCTAGAAGAGCTCTGCTTTGAAGAGCACGAGAACGTTTGTCTGGTCATTACACTGTCTCGTGGGTCTGTTTATCTGTTGCCAAAGCAAGAGGTATGTTTTGCAAATCCCCCTCTTTGTCCCAAGTTTTGGTACACGTCTTACATGTTCCTATCCTCCTTGACGATTCCCTTGGGCTCTTGCCATAGAAAGCCCTTTTCAATTTGGATCCTGAAAATGAGAACACGGATAAACAACATGCACATACAAAACCTTGAAAGGCTGGCTGTTTCTT